GGGCTGGGCACAGGCAGCCACCTGGGCACCGTCCTTCCAGTCCCTGTGCCCCCAGCTCTCCAGAACTAACCCCGGGGCCAAGTCGAGACCCTCTGGACTCCCACATGGTGCACAGAAACCTCACGAGAAGGCTGCTGCCCGACAGCATACTTCGCGGTGAGAAAGGCGCACAAATTCCAGAACCTCCCATGTTTCCACCCTCCTGTCAAGCTCCAGACTGGGGGAGGACATGGAACTGGTGCCTTTCAACTTGGGCCAGAGTCAAAAAATTCCTCCTGTTCTGCTTGAGGACTCCCTCCTCTGACCTGGCCTGACCTTACATAACTGCCAGGTTTCTCCTTTTCTTTTCATCACAGCCTTTTCTGCCATTTCAGGGTCAGCATCAAAACAGCCTCAGCCACAAGCCTCTTTTTGTAAAAGGCCAGAGAGTCCACACTGCAGGCTCTGGGCTATTTCTTCCTCTCCTTTTCCTGTCTATCCTCTTTTTTTTTTTTTTTCCTTTTTGAAGAGAACAACCCTTAAAAACATGCAGATTATTCTTAGTGCCAGAGCCATACAGAAGCAGCCCCACCAGGCGCAGTTTGCCAGCTTTGGGCCCAGCGCAGCATCCTGGCTGCACAGCTGACTCACCTGTGGAGTTTTAAAGGGCTCTAGTGGTGACATGGCATCTTTTTTGGCCTTCCCTCCACCAGCACAGGAATATGCATCCCCTGCCTGTTGCTGTAACAGCAGTCTGGGCCCACGTCTTGGCTTTGAAGAGGAGGCAAGCTCCTCAAGCTTCAGGAAAACACTGCCTCTTTGGCTGGGGCATCAGAACGAGGCCCTGAGCAGACCTGAGCCTGCCTGGTCTGGGGGCCCAGCACAGCTCCCAGGCCACAGTGACTATTACACACCATCCCCGCACAGGCCTGGCTGATACAATGTGCCCCTCTTTCCTCTCTGACTCAGGGGTAGGCCCTGGGATTGGAAGGTTTTAAAAGCTTCTTCTGGTGGTACTGCACACACCAGATAGGAATCCAGGCAGCCAGGATCCATAGCTCTGTCCTGCAGCAATGCCCCACGGTGGCCTCCTTTACGTCTCCCGCTGTCCCCCTCAGGAGCATGGCTCCGGCCTTCCCTACTGATGAGCCTTTGGTACTGCACACAGATCCTGTACAGACAGGATCACACTACATTTCTATAGAAAGCCTCCAGACACCACCCTCTGCAGCCCAGTGAAGGGAACTGTTGTGGGGTGACCACTGTCCTGCTGTGCCCAGACGGTCCTGGTTTTAGCACTTAAGTCCTATGTCCTGGGAACCCTGCAGCACCAGGTGCAATGGGACTCAGGGCCCAGGTCTAGGCATGGCCTGTGACACAGCCTGGAGTGTGAGAGAACCACACTCCAGCGGTTGCTGGTGTCTGAGGTGTTGGTTCTTCTCACTGCACACAGTGGGCTAGGAAGCTCTCAAGTTCCCAGACCCAGGCTGCATCCCAGACCAGCCACCTCAATGCTGAGGGGTCAGGGCTGTGCTGGGGACATGTTCAGACCTCCAGGTGACAGTGACTGAAACTTCCTGCACCAGATTCTAGGAGGGATGCTTGGGTTTCCCTGGTGGGTGCATGACACAAGGGACCAGACCCTGCCTGGCCTGGTTGTCACTGGGGACAGACCCCTAAGAGGCTGACAGTCAGAGGGGACACAGGCTCATGGGGATGCTAATTGAGCCCAGGCTTCCTTGACAGGAGGTGTGGCTGCAGGCAGTCCGGCACTATCCACCCCTTCATCTACCTGTGGCCTCTGGGCACCTCTGGGGTACAGCACAGTGCACAGCACAGGAAGAATTTCAGAGCAGAGCAATTGGCCAAAATACATGCGGCGGGGAGACCTGGGGGCCCTATCTGATGTCTTGGGGCTGGTGATTCGTTTCCCGATTCCCTGAGCAGCAGGGAGAACCACCAGAGCCAACAACATGCCCACTGAGAAGAGGTGAGCCGGTGCCCTCATTTCACCCTCTCAGCACCTGCACAGTTGCTTCATTTAATAGATAAGAAAACTGAGGCTCTGGGAGAAGAGACGGGACAGTTTTTCTAGGGTCTACAGGTACCAAGACAGTGTTGAACCCGGCTCTTAATGGCAGCTCTCTAGGCTCAGAGAGGTTCAGCAACTCTCCTAGGTGCACAGATAGTGAGCAGGGGAGCCTGCCCCTCCCCCGGAGATGCTGCCCTAGATTGCATGACGCCAGATCCCAGGTTGAAGGTAAAAGGGGAGGAGAGAAGTGGGAAGGCTTTAGAGAAAATAATTCAGCCTTACTGGCTCTCCTGATGGTGGGATGTACCACGAAGGGTATACAAGGGAGGTGAGGTCAGCGCAGGGGAGGAGGTGAGGATGGATCAGTGCTGCCAGGGCCCGTGGGAGTGAGCCACAGACCACACACTCCCTGGACACCACTCCACGGACAGCTGTGCAGCCTGCACTCTGCTGGGACTCTGTGGCTTCAGGCTTAACGGTGCTCACTGCATTTGGTCTCAGAAGCAGGGAAACAGCTACTGTAGTTTAGAGCCATTTCTATAGAAACCACAGCCTCCACACTTCCATTTCCACTTTAAAAAGGAACACAAAAAGGAAAGAGAAGATTCAGTCATGTTGGCAAGCCCCAACTCAGCTACTGAGGGGCTCTCTTGTCCATGCATCTCACCTCCTCAGAGCATATCACTCATACTGGGGTGTGTGTGTGTGTGTGTGTGTGTGTGTGTGTGTGTTTGTGTATGTGTGTCTGTGTGTGTTTGCATTCGGTTCATCTTTTTCCACAGGTTTAGAATCAAGTCAATTAAACAAAGAGCAGCACAGTCATCTCACATTGCGTGGCCCCTTTTGAGTTACTTCCGCACAAGGTGTGTGTCAGCATCGGAGCCTGTCTTGCAGATGCACTCAGCTGGAGCTGCTGACTCAAGGCCACACACACCAGCCTGGCTGGAAGCAGGGACACAGGCCCAGCCTCCCCTTGTCCATCCAGCTGGCTGCTCTTCCAGGGCACACAGGCCTGATGCTACAAACTTTCTACACAACACTGTGCAATGTTCGACCAGGGTTTAATAACTGCCAGTGACAACAGCTGCTCTTGTTCTCCAGAAGAAAATTCTCTGGAACCCATGACCTAAAGTCATAAAACCTCTGCTCTTGCAGCCCAAGAAGCCCTGGATGTGCAGGTGAGGGGTGCAAACACATGGGCAGAACTGGCCAGGGTTCTTGATGACCAGCCTTTGTTCCTCTCACAGGGGCTAGAGTTCATCTTGTCAGTGAAGACAGTCTGTGCCATAACCTGGATGGCATACTGAGTCTGAGGGGCCTGAGGGGGCTGGGGGCCAACGGAACACCTGCTGGGGCCAGCAGTGCTCCAGGCCCATGGGCACCAAGGAGTCCAGGTGCTCCTGCTCTGCCAGCCTGGAGTCCGTCCCCTCATGCCAGCCTGGCACATGGAGGCCTCTGTTTGTGGATGGAGGAATACCCGCAACAATGCTGGATTACTCTAGATGCATGATCACAAAGCCCAGGTCTGCTCCCCAAGCACGAAACTCTGGGACTGGGTCCCCCTCCCAGAGTATGCCTGGCATGGTGGGGGAGAGGTGCCGTGTGGCACTGTGGCCACCTGCAGGACCTGTGCCTGACACACCACAGCAGCCCAGGTGGCCCTCAGGTGGGCCAGGGATGGACGTCCTGGTGTGACACACAGGCCAGCAACGCCATACCGAGCCAGGAAGGCACCGGGGCCAGCGGCAAAGTGGGGGGTGGGTCTCTGGGTGCAGCTGACCCAGGAAAGCATGCTGGTGCCTGGAAGTCACAGTATGTGGTAGCTCACCCTTAACCCATAGCTGCTCTAGTGCCACCCTTTACGTGTCCCAATAGTTAAGTTAATTTGGGATGGGAGATAGGTGGAAACTGCTTTGCTTGACCTCCTACCCTTTCCAGTGATTCTCATGAAAGTCTAAAGCCTGGCCATGATTTTCCCTTCAAGTGTAACTGTTGGAAAAATGAGACCCAGGGTCCCAGTCCCGTCTAGCAATAAGCGAATTTGATACATAATTCCTTGTGGAACAATGTAAAGCACAAGTTTAAAAAAGATCTGTTCCCTTCTTGCCCCGGGCCTGTCTATAGTAGATCCAGACTGCAGAGTCCAGAAACTTTCCCTCTGTTCTTGTTAACTCACAAGCTGTGGACAGGAGGGCTGAGAGTGGGTGAGGATGAGGGAGAGGCAGAGAGAACACCAGACCCTGCACCCAGGCATGCAGAGCCCATGTTGTGGGGCAGGAGGAAGGTGCCAGAGAGCTCTGCTAACGTCCATTCAGAACCTCCAGGGAATACTGGAGAAGCCTGGGCCTTGGACTTCTTGCCCACGAATTACAGGATGTAGCAACCAGGATGTAGGGACTAGTACGTAGGGTCTGAGACAAGCACTGGCCTGACGGACTGAGAATAAGTCCCTCCCCTTGCCTTCATCCTACTAGTGGAATGGGACCAGGGCCAAATCTAGAAACAGAAGGTATCTTTGAAAGTAAGAAGAAGAATGTAACCAAACAATATGGTTAATTCTGATTCTGAGCTCCATTGAAAGAAAACTAGGTTAGCAAGTCTTACAAAGATGCCAAAAGACACTAGCACTGAAAACAAATGGAACCCAGACTTTCTGCAAGACGCAATCATATGGCACTGAATGTGCACTGACAAAGGACAACTTTGAGTGATGGGCCAATGTTAATCAAAGGCTATGCCACGGGCCATTGAGAAGCACCTTACACACCTTCTAGATCATCTTCTGAACACTGAGTACCACTCATGTGTTTATCAAGGCTTAGGAGGTCCCTGAGGCCAGGCAGGGAGAAGGAAGCCATGGTGACCCCAAGGGCACTGCTGCCACTGGCTTCCCGAGGCTGGAATGCTGAGCATGCAGCTGAGGATTAAAGTCACCAGACCCTAGGGCTGGACGCCTGGCACCTCCCTGCCCACACGCTGAGGATGTTACCTGGGCAGGAGCACTGCAGGACAGATGAGCCAGGTCCCCAATTCTGGCCGCAGCCCGGGGATCACTGGAGCTGATCAAGACTGGAGCGCTAATTTCCATGGAGTGCCTGTGACTGGTAGCCTGGGAGGACTTGTGTGTCACGCTGAGCGCGGTGAAGGAGTGGCGCTTCTTGGCATTCTTCTTGCTGTCCACACGCCGCTGAAAGGCACTGACTGCCCCTGTGCTGCTTAATGTGGGTCCTGGGGCCACACTGGCTGCTCCGCCAGGGTCGGAGGGCATGGAGGCATGGCAGCCAGACGCGGCAGCTGGGCATGGCTTGTCCATCTCAATGAGCTGCTTGGCTGAGTCATTGAGCTATGTGAGAAAGCGAGAGGAAGGCTTCGTTAAACAGAGGTCACATGCTCGGTCCTGCCCTCCATGCTCACAGCCTGTGTCCCCAGTTCAACCCGACAACACGTTCACAATCACACAGATCTTTCCAACAGGGCATTCCTGTGAATGGTGCCAGGAATAAACACAACAGAGGCTGCAGGTGACGTGTGTAGATTTTATTGAGAAGGTTTCTGGAGGAGCTGTTTTTTTCTGCCCCCATGTAGACTCAACCCTCTCCCAGGCTGCCCATTTCTGGGGTGTGAGATGCAGACTTGCAGAGGGCATAGGACAGAGGGAGAGGAAGAAAGAACACTCAGCCATGCACCCCACACTCGTTATGGAGACAGGCTCCAGCCTGACTTGCACAGTTCTGGCCAGGCTGGCAGAAAAATGCAAGGTATATGATCAGAATGCATTCCCTAACCACTGGTGACTGTGGGTGGTGGGAATGTGTGACCTGCTGAGCAGGAATCACGGATGCTCTTTGCAGTACCAGCCTCCACTCAGGCTGTCAAGACTCAGAGCTGACATGACTCCCAGTGCATGAGGAGGTAATACTGTACTGTTTCCAGCAATTCTTTAAGGCACTGCTCCTTCCCTTTTCTCCTGACCTGTTCCACAAAATAGAAGGGGCTTTTACAGGGAACAGTTTGCCTTTGACAAAAGTTGGATCCTGGGTGGTGGTCATCAGGAATGGTGGGATGGGTTGGAGTCCATGAGCAGCCAGTGCTAACTGGGAGGCAGCCCTCCATGCCAGCTGACACAGGGGTGTGCTGTGGCATCCAAGCCTTGAGGGGCCCTGTGCTCATGGGGGACTGGGGAGTCTCAGGTTAGTCACCCTCTATGAGCCAACTTGACCCCTGACTCCACACTTTGAGCAAGTTTTTCATTCCAGGTGTACAATGGAGCGCTTTCTTCTTGGTCCACACTTGGCCCAAACCAAGTTCGTACTAAAGGGGGAGTGTGGACTGATGGAAAGGATGAAGGATGGGGAGCTGGCTACTGTGTATACAGTGTGGCCAGGAAGAAGGTTGACATGAGAATCAGCTTGGGAGCATCTCCATGAGATGGGTTAAATAAATATCATTATGCTAGGTAATGCCTGCAAAATCCCATTCCTTCTCCCTCATCTTTTCACACATGGCACAAGAAATTGAGCCAATGCTAGCTAGCCCTCTGGGGAACCTACAATCAGGAAGGAACACAAGCCTCTGTTTTTTTGTTTGCTCCTTAGCAAACAGAAACAGCTGCAGGTGTCATAGGCTCAGGCAGGCCTGACACACTGCTTCTGTCAACACGACACGGCTCTGCTGGTGCTAGGGGTAGCAGCCACAGAGACCCCTGCACCAGTGGGCATGGGTCCCTAGTACAACTTCTTGACCATGAGGCAGCAGCATGTGCTTGGATCCTGGCTGTGGTTGAGAGCAGGGAGGGCAGAGCACTGGCTGGCTTTACAAAGCAGGGGCTCCATCCCTGCTTGCTTAGTCCTTTCTTCTCTCCATATATCATATCCAAATTTCTAGTCCATAGACATTAGCTCTGTGTAGTTCCTAGGGGCAAAGACCCTGAGGACGGTCACTGCCCAGCTCTCGTCTGCTTTCTGAATGTGCCCCAAGCACAACTCCCCGGCCTGACGTGAAACAGATGGAAATTGTTAGGAGCCTGTTGTGTTCTTGCAGGTGGACAGGGATGTCCCCAAACCATCCATTTCTTCTTCTTCTTTTTTTTTAAAAATGTTTTTTTATTATTTATTTCTAGGAGAGAGAGAGAGAGAGACAGCATGAGCAGGGGAGGGTCAGAGAGAGAGGGAGGCACAGACTCCGAAACAGGCTCTGAAACAGGCTCCAAAACAGGCAGTCAGCACAGAGCCCGACGCAGGGCTCGAACCCACGAACCGCGAGATCATGACCTAAGCGAAAGTCGGACGCATAACCGACTAAGCCACCCAGGCACCCCCATCCATTTCTTCTTAATGGTCTCAAAGGTGAAAAGGTCCCACCACTCTGAAGAAGCACCAGTCCTCATAAAATTTACTTCATGATCTGGGCCTCGGCCAGGGTTTTTCTGTGCGGCCAGTGAGGCAAGCACAGGCATGTCTGTCCCTGCCAGGCAGGCAAGGAGAGGTCTCTAGTGGCTCATGAGGAGTGGGCAGGGGTGGCGGGAAGGATGCTTTCCTGACAAGCTACCCCGGGCAGGCTGGCACTGATGGTGGTGCAGTGCCCTGGATGTGCTCCTGCACTTGCCCTTACCACTGCAATAAAACTAGAAAAGAGAATTAGAAAAGGAGAAAGGAGGATCAGAAAGAGAAATATGCAATGTCAGGCCATCCAGAAGGCTGAGTGGGCCCCACTACCCCCTGGACTTTGAGATGCTGGCAACAGGGTCCCCACAGTTCTGCCACAATGTAGTGGGGGTGGGCTTCGGGTGCCAGCCATACACAGGAAGTACAGATAACATTCCCACCACAGGCAGAATGTCAGGGGTCAGTGGGGCTGAGCTGACCAACAAGTCTTGGAGACCCAGAGTTTCAGGGTGTCCAGGCAGAGCAAGCCACCCCAGGCGAGGTCCAGTAGGTCTCACATGAGTGCCATGGGGACAGATGTGGCCCTACAGGCCATATCCTATTTAGGGTCTGGGACAGGATGTGGCTTGGTCAGGACTGTCCACCTAGTCTTCCACCAGCAATGGAACATAGGGTGTCTAAATGAGGGGCCACCAAGGGCAGAGATGAGGGACACTGAAAGAGGAAGGGGTACACCAAAGACAAATCTCCCTTCTCCACATTTAGCCCAGCTCTGTTGCCCCGAGGGAGCTCCCAGAGTGTGCATGGCACCCCACATTCCCCCCTGCTTCATGCACTGGCAGGCTCAGCCTCCCTTGCACTGGGGCCACTTCCCAGGCTTAATGGACTTTAGAGGGGAGAGTCCCCTGCCTGAGAGGTCTGAGGAGGAGGCAGAACACAGGGCTCTCCTGGAATATAAACACAGCTGCAAACCAGGTGGGGGACAGAGAAGTTTGAAGGGAAGCCAAAGCAAAGGACCTGGAGTGTGCAGAGTTCATTCAGTGCTGAGGGTAAGGTACAATCCCAAGGTGCCAGTTTAGGGAAGAGGTGAATCAGCAGAGGCCCTGAGGGCAGCTGACACCCTCAGGGAAGAATGAGACTGAGCAGGCTCTTGGTGGCTGCAGAGCGCTCAGATGGGAACAGGGGTGGAGGTGGGGCTAGGAGGAGCAAGGAGGAGGGCAATGGAATCCACAAAGGTGGGAGGTCCTGGCAGGCAGGGAGCAGCAAACTGGAACCAGCTATGGATCTGCAGGTCCCCGGTGCAGGAGCCACATGCATGTCACAGGCTGAGCCTGCAATGTGGGTTCGATCAAGGGGAGGGAGGGCCATGCCACAAAGAGGGGCCATGCTTGCCCCACCTTCAGTGAAGTCTGACTTCAGGACTGGGTTAGGAAACCCCAGCCCTGGGACGGCAGAGGAAAACACCAGGTTCTCCTTCAGCACACACTACTAGGGTTTGCAGCTGGTGGCATCCTGATGAGTTAAAAAAAAAAAAAAAAAGCCAAAAAAAATTTAAGCAGTGAGAGCAGGGGATGCTTCATGTCCATAATGCTGAGTAGATCACACACACAGCAGTGGTGGATGGCCAGCTGCCTACAGTCAGCCCAGGAGCAGGGCTGCAGGCCCATCAGCATTTCCATTACAAATACCTGCCTTTCAGAGGGAGGTTTTGAAAAACTCACTGTAGGCCCCAAAATGTGTGATCTAAATCCAGGATTATTTCCTTTGAAATGTTTCTTCCAACCAGGCTCAGCTGTTTTTGCTCTATTTTATGGCTTTATTCTGCTTCCTCAACAGTGCTAGCTCACAGAACCAACCGGTGGCTGCTGCCTCCCATGGCCCTCTGAGCAGCTGGTCTTCTGGAGCCCGATGTTCTGCATCTCTGCTGCAAGGCCAAGAGGAACACAGAGAAGCAGGAAGCACCAGAGACAAGGACTTTCTATTGCTGGCACTGGAGCACAGTCTCAATCCTTTCTGCCACGTGTCTCCATGTGGCACGTTATTACGTAGACATAACGGCACCAATAATGCTCAAGGCTGGGCTAAAATTACTTTGTTCTTCTCCAGAGCACCTGATCTGGAGTGTCTCACTTAGCTGCCCCGTGACTCAGCTGAGTTTTAGAAACTCCAGGATTTCCGAATACTGACAGAGCAGGAGGGCGCATGTCCAGAACGCACAGAGCAGTGATCTGAGGTGAGGTCTCAACAGCCAGCAGCACTGCAAGGCCTGGCAGTACCCTGCTCTCTGGCGGCCACACAGCTCATCCCAACACTGGCTAGTCCTCAAGATGTCTCCCTAGCAGGCTGCTCATAGCCCACCATGCTGCCGTCCTTCTTGATGAAACTAGGATGTGAGGATAGCATGCCTACATCACTCATGCCCACAGTGGGCACTGAAAAGGAAGGCCGATAAATGTCCATCAAAGATAGGGGTTCTGAGTAAGCTGCAGGAGTGGGGAGGGCTGCTTCTGAGTGGTGAGTTCTCCACATGTCACCAGCAGCCTTAGGGTCCCTGACATCTCTGCAGTAGGCAAAGGACCCACCAATGAAAGACCCTCCCAAGGAAGAGGCAGTTTAGTTTTATCTTCTTTACTGAATCTTTGCTTCTGTGACAAGTGGCTTCTTGTTGGATCCATATATACATGGGATCAACCACTCCTTTACCATCCTCCACTGGGTAGCCTGGCTTACAAGGCTTATCATGGTGGCAGGCAAACAGACTGTGGGCTGGCAGAGGCCATTCTGATTGCTGCAGCTCTGTGACTCGTTCCTGGAAGTGAAGCTCACTGTTGTGGGGAGCTGTCATCATCTCCCCAATAAGCTCCAATTAGTTGTGTCATGGGGTGCTTAGGGCTGCTGCCACCAATGCCATGCCAGTCCTTATGGGCCCATTACCACAGGACACCCTCACCTGCCAGCA